CAACGAGTGACGAGCAAACGTGACGAAATTGTATATTTTTTGGAATTATTTCAAGTGAACCCGGATTGGGACGCGGCGATCAATGGAATTCTGGCGAGGAACGGCGGCGTTCAACAATGGACGCTCGGCGTCGCGGCGAAATGCAACATCGACGAAGGATCGACGTTCCGTTGTAAATTCAACACCGATCTTCAACTCGGTTTGAGCCTGCAGCAGAAACTCGACGAGAACGTCATGTTAACTCTGTCGTTTAACATCGACTGCGCGAACGTGACGAGAGGCGGTAACAAAGTGGGTCTGGCCCTCGATATCGAAGCATGAACGATCAATGATCGATTGTGGAAGGGATTTCGAATTGTTTTCTTATTTTTTTTTTTTTTTTTGTGAAAATGTGCTCTTTGGTGCTCTCTCTCTCTCTCTTTCTCTCTCTCTCTATACATATATATATATACATATATTTTTTTTTAATTTCTTTCGAGTGCACCTGTTTCCCACGTCTGTATTGTGATTGTTCGTATTAAATGTCCGACATTGGTATTAAAGTAGTATTTTCAATTAACTGCGTCTGATTTATTACATGTTCCAATTCCTTGGAAAAAGGAATAAAGTTCGTTTATATATCAATAGTGCATTATGTGGATATTATTTTTCGTAGTATATACTGTATGGTACTATGAATAATATATACTGTTGTATATATTATTGTATATACTGAAATAATATATAGTATGTATGTTAGCAATGTTATAATTATGTAATAATACTGTATAATTGTAGAATTATAGACTTATAATATATAATATATAATATATATTGCATAGTATAATATAATAATTATAATATTATATATTATAATAGCAATGCTACATATCATACATGTTAATTTATTAATATTTTTAGTTACAAATATATTTTAATTTTAATACTATATAGATACTATATATTTTTATTTTAATACTATATAGATACTATATATTTTAATTTTAATACTGTATTAGTTATAAATATATTTTAATTTTAATACTATATTAGTTATAAATATATTTTAATTTTAATACTATATAGATACTATATATTTTAATTTTAATACTATATTAGTTATAAATATATTTTAATTTTAATACTATATAGATTAGATGCTCTAGCAGAGAAAATAATTTGATTAAACTCTTCAACACGCGAGATTTTAAAAGAGACAAAATATTCATAATTATTAATATATAACTTCGAGAATAATTTCAATTCAAATTAAATTTCGACCAAATTTCGTTTGTCTTTAATAATTTCTAGACTAAATGAAGTTTTATCTGAATTTAAATTGATCATAATCAATGTTTGATATTTATCAATCGTAAATTAATCAACTTATCTAAATTCAAATTAAGTATTTTTTTTAAACTAGAACTTTTTTTGCTTATTTTCATTAACAGCTAAGACCAGTGGCTAGTATCTTAATATCAAATCATTGAAATAAATAAATTCTCATAATTATCTACCTTGCCGCAAGAATGCCTGCAATTTTCGAAAAAAGAAAATCTAAAATTCTGCTAGCTCTAGTATAATAATAATAATAATAATAATAATAATAATAATAATAATAATCTAGTATAATAATAAAGCTCTGTAAAATAAATAACGAAAATAACATAAAGTTGAGAAAATGCAATGGAAGACACTTTCAACAAAAATTAGAGAAGATAAAGTGAGAAAAATATATTTAATAAAATAGAAATTTCCGAAATAATAAAATAGAGCAAGATGGTAATTCATAAGAAAGAATTACGAATTATTATCTTGTTCTATTTTATTAAATTTCTTTTTATATTATATTTTATATTATATTATACTATATTATATTTTATATTATATTATATTATATCATATTATATTATATATTATATCTTTATTTCTTCTTCATTAAATTTCTTTTTTATTTCTGTTTTATCATTTCGAAAACACAGAGTGCTTCCCAAATCCCATTTCGTGCTTTTTCTTATCCCGAATCGTTTAAACAAGAAACAAAGAAAGAAAAATGGTTTCGAATCTTCGAAATTCGAAACTTTCGACGTTTCGTAGAAACTTACCCCTAGTATTATTACGTGAAAGGGACAGTCCTTCGATCAGTATCACTCGCCGATCTTCGTTCGATTTCCGCGTTTGTTGCAATAAACGGACGCGTGGAGAGATCGATTGGCGGTTTCAACAAATGCCCGGCGACGAATTTTCGTGTTCGAAAACGATGCACGCGCGCGTCCCTCAGGTTTATTACTGGCCGCGGCAGTATTTCAGTTTGTTGCCGGCCACCAGAGCCAGAAATTAATGAAACCGGAACGTTTCCATCGATCCCTGGTTGCTAACGCGCGGCTCCATTGTTAACAAAGAAAGCAGCTTGTTCGCGCGCCTCTCGCTCGCAACTGTATACAACAGATATACAAACAATTTTTCGAACTTAAAGAGGATCGTTCGATCTGTTTTCAGCGAGCACCGGCTCGTCTGTGCTTGTCCAACTGATAACTGGGCACGCATGTCTGTTATTTCGCCAATTGACAGCGGGTTTATCCTGGGATTGATTGGTTTACGATTATTTCAACGTGATATACAGTTGCTCGACGACTGTTGAACAATTTCGTGAAACGAGAAATGAATTTTAACTTCTCAAGACGTGAAAAATGGGACGAAATAGTTGGAAAATAACGAAAAATATGTAGTTTGCAAAAGTTGTTAACAACGAATGAAGAAAGTAATGTTATATGTTGAGTATAATTGATTATTATAATATAATATTAGTTAATGTATATATGATACATTACATTAGTTATACAGCTATATTATAATATAATGTAGCTATTAGTATTATAATATAGCATTATATTATATTATACGGCTATATTATAATATTATAATATAATTTATATAAATTATAATATTAGTAGTTAACAACTAATGAAGAAATTAACTAAACTAATATTATATATTAATTATGATAATATAATATTAATTAATATATATATGATACATTATATTAGTTATATAGCTATATTATAATATAATGTAGCTATTAGCATTATATTATACAGCTATATTATAACATTATAATATAATGTAGCTATTAGTATTATAATATAGCATTATATTATAATATTATAGCATTATATTATAATATTATAATATAATGTAGCTATTAGTATTATAATATAGTATTATATTATAATATTATAATATAATATTAGTAGTTAATAATGGAGAAATTAACTATACTAATATTATATATTAATTATGATATAACATTAGTTAATATATATATATAATGCATTATATTAGTTATACAGCTATATTATAATATAATGTAGCTACTAGTATTATAACATAGCATTATATTATATTATACAGCTATATTATAATATAATATTAGTAGTTAACAACGAATGAAGAAATTAACTAATATTATATTATGTATTAGTATATTAAATATGATAATATAATGTTGGTTAATATATATTAATTAACATTATAATAATTATATTAATTATATTGTAATATGATATTAGTAGTTAACAACAAGTGAAGAAATTAATTATACTAATATTACATGTTATAGTATATTAATTGTGATAATATAATGTTAGTTAATATATATAATATATTAGTTAACATTGTATTAGTTATATTAGTTACGTTATAATATAATATAGCTATATTAATATTATAATATAGCATTATATTACATTATACAGTTATATTATAATATAATATTAGTAGTTAACAACGAATGAAGAAATTAATTATACAGTCAAATCTATGAACGCAAATATTTTCGTACAACAACGGAACACATTTAACCCGTTGACAAACAATAACGTCTGAGAGACGTCATCCGTTTCGTAGGAACTGCTGAATTATTAATTTGTTCTTTTATCATTTATTTTTTATTAATTTTTTTTATAAGTATCGTGCCTATGACATTTTGTACAAACGCAGTACAAAACGCGAGATATTATAAAAATGATCTGTGTTAAAAGATATTATAAAAATGATCTGTGTGCACAAATATTAAAATGAAGAGCAAATATCATTTCTTTCGTCACATCGAATTTTATTCAATTTGTATGTCAAGGTTCTGAAATAATCTCCTCCGCAACTTTCGAGGAATTATTCATCCTGTATCGCAATACAAGGAAACACAGCTTCAGTTTCAACCACTTGCGCTGGCAACTGATTGCGGACCGTAACGAGTGACCGAAACCGTACGCAACACAGCTTCCCTTTCGAACTCGTCGACAAATCACTGGACAGAAATTACTACCAAGCAATAAATTGATCATTTGTTTCACCTGGGTTACACTGAATACTTAAAACTATCATTATAGATGCCTCAAGACATAATAATTGTACGATTTTGTTGTTTCGATATTTTTACATTTTTCTTCACTTATATCGACACTCTTGAGTAACGAAAGTACATCATAAAAGTATTAATATATTTTCGTATTGTATAATATATTATTATATATATAAGAAAAATTATATTATATATTATAATTAATTATTGTATTATAATATTAATATTTATAATTAAATTATATATAACAATATATTATTATTTACACAATAACATACTATTTTATTGTATAATATTACTTTATACTTATTTGTACTTTATCATACTATTTTATTGTAAAATATTGTGCAATATTATTTATACAATAACATATTATTTTATTGTATAATATTACTTTATACTTATTTGTACTTTATCATACTATTTTATTGTAAAATACTGTGCAATATTATTCATACAATAACATATTATTTTATTGTATAATACTGAATAATATGTTAATCACTCAGAGTAACCTACACGATACAAAAATCCAATTCCCAGTATAATCCACCCCGGTGTTATACACACACAGAACCGCCATATAATTCTGAGATCCATATAAATCTCATCCACAGTAGCGAAAGTTGTTTATTATACTGTGATATTTCATTCGACTCACCCTGTGTCGTGGAACCGCAGGCATACTGCTCGTTCTCCCGCGGTATTGCCTCTGTGGCGCCGGGCCACGGGATCCCGAGGCGGAACGAGCTGGACCAGGGGGAGTTGTTGGACTCGGGCCGCCTGGACTCGCTCTCGGGCTCAGATGGGACGATGTGGAGACGGCACCGGGGCTGATCGCCGGCGTTCTGGTCGGGCTCCTCGGCGAGGGCGATAAATGACCCCATGGGCCGGCTTCCGCTTGCAGGAACCTATTGCGAGGGTGGAGGGAAAGAGAGACAGAGTTCAACAGCGTTAACAGACAGAAACGGCGTCTATAAACTCTGATTGTGGCTGTACAAGCTGTCGTATGTATGTATGTATGTGCATTTATATTTCGATGACTGGAACAGGGGAGGAAAGCAAATACCGTGGAAGCTACGCGAAGGGGAAAAAAGAAAAAAAGAAATTTGATTCCTGTATCGTTAGAGGTTGAAGAACTTATCTCTTCGTTCGTGCGAAGGCAGATAATAATAATGATGGTGGTGATAATATACAGGGTGTCGCATTTTAATTTGTTCGAAGAAAAATTAATTGAAACAAAGTTTGGAATTCTATCGATACAAAAATTTTACTCTCGGCGCGAATTTTAATTTTTACGTGAAGTGAAGTGCAGATAATACTCGGTTACGACAATCAATATATGGGATACTTGAGGAAAGTATGGACCGAGAATGAAGAAAATAACAAAATTAATGATCATCGTGCAATATATATATATATATATATATATATATATATATATATATATATATATATATATATATATATATATAGGAATACCCATGATTAATGTCGTTTTCTTCAAATTTAATAAACATTGCCATTTAATAATTTGACAATAATTTAGCTTATTGTAACAATCTATATTCAAATTAAATATAGTGACATTTAGTAGGATTATAATATAGTTGAACTACATTGTAATTAATTATATTATTAATTATTATATAAATAAATTATAAATTAAATTATAATAAATTATTATAAATTAAAAATAAAATTTAACAGTATCAAAATAATATAAATTATAAATTAAATTATATAAATTATCATATTAAATTATAATAAATTATTATAAATTAAAATTTAACAGTATCAAAATAAAATTATATAAATTATAAATTAAATTATATAAATTATAAATTATAAATTAAATTATAATAAATTATTATAAATTAAGAATAAAATTTAACAGTATCAAAAAAACGATATTATTCATGGGTAGTCCTGATACAATAATACAGAAGATTGATCGTACAAAAAGTTAGTATAATCACGATCCTCGAACTAATTTGAAGAAATGGATATAATATACGTTTGCGTATATCACGAGTGAGCCGAGTTTGCAAAGTGCAGAGTAATAAGAGGTAGCCGCAGTAAATCAATTGCAAATATCGCTGTTATTTGTTTATTTTGTGTACTTGAGGCATTAATATGCTGCTGCGAAATTTACAGTCACAGACGCTGTTGATATTTGAACGCGACGATATATTCGAGAGATTAATGCTTCGTCCATTTGTTTGTCGCAGCGTGATATTAAATTAACTACACCATTTTTCAACGTAGGAAAACACTTACTCGCGATTGATGAAAGTTTCCCTCTAATAAACCAATTAACCGGCCAATGAAATTATCGTTATAATCGTAATGAATTAATAAGTATTTTATATGAGACACAATGTTGTATAACACAATTGCAAAATAATATTTTATAATATGACGAGACGTAAGTGCTGGAATAATTACAATATCGTAATCGTTTTTATAAATATATATATATATATATATATATATATATATATATATATATATATATATAATATAATATAAAATTTTATATTTATATTTATATTTTATATAAATTTTATATTTAGATTTATATTTTATATTTTATATAAATTTTTATTTATATAAAATATATATTTATATATTATAATTATATTTATATTTATATTTTATATTTTATATAAATTTTTATTTATATTTATATTTT